TTAATGAATCAAATGCAGACGAAGAGCCACAGGGCCAGAATCACCACCTGCAAGCCCCAAAGCGTAATCTGTAGCTCCAAATCCAGCTTCTGTCTGCCTCTAGAAGTCTTTTAAGTCTCTCCTCAGTGCTCATGTTGTGACCCTGTGGAATGTGGTCCCACAAGTGCCATAAACATCTACTGGATATTCCCTTCCTGCTGTCATTAACAACACCCCTACTCTCAAGTTCCTGCCCTGGAGATTGTGAAAGTGCTTTATTTTACATGTTTAACTCCTCAGTTGCACAACTGCAGTGCCAAAGAGCATTGGCCTAACCACGTGGAATTATGATAAGGGGTGGCAGCATGATGCTGAAGATTTTGGCCAGCCAATTCCACTTCCCTTCTCCATTTGTTTTCCATTTTCCCTACAAACAGTCAAACAGCATCTGTGAGATGATTAAGCATACTCAGTTCTGATCAGGCTAGGTGAGAAGTTGCCCTAATTACTGTATTATTTTTTTTTCTATTGGGTTATGGGTAGGGGTGGTGGTGGCTCTTTTTCCTTACGTTTTTCCACTTATTTTTTTCGTCTTCCCTCTCTCGAAGGTGCCCCTTCAAATCCAAATTAACGAGGCCATCTTTCTTGTGTGTAAGGGCTTTCTGTATTCAAAGCTAGCTCTTAGGAGCACTGAATTTGCCAGCAAGATAGGTGACTTTTGGAAAAAACAATGAGAAAAAATAACCAGACTTCCCATGTCCTCCTCCACTACACCATTCCACTATTTGACGAATCTTCATTTTGATTTCATTCTTCCAAGTCTGGCGAGGCTGCCTATTACACAAAACAGTTTATTGAAATTGCAGCCTTGGAAAGAGAGGGAGATCCAGGCCTGTAGCACATAGGAGAATAGATTAATTTTCTTCTCTATCCCCCCCACCCCGCTTGCCCCTTGCCTCAATCCTTATGAAAGCTGCCTGCTGCATAGTAAAAGAGGTGTAGTACTTCTACTGAAATTATACTAACCGTTTCTAAATTTACATTTCTAATCTGCATTATTATACGGAATGATGATATGTGTATTTTGGAGGGGGGGTAAAAAGTATGTGGTCATCATACATCATTTTAGTTAGGCCTAGGCCTAAGGCGGAGAAGAGATGGCAATGACAGAATCCTTGCTTGTTTGAACTACATTTGCTGTTTAAAATCCCATCTTCACTACCCTCACCATGAGAGAATGGAGAAGTGATAACCCGAAAACCCTGCTCTGCCATAGCACCGTAATTCACCTGGCACTTGGCTGATGTTTATTCATTGGTGCCAACGAACAACTTTCTAAAACTTTTCTAAGGCACAGATCTAAGGCTGTGCATTTGATCTAACGTTGGACTTATTTTTGTCACATTTTAGTATTCTTGTCTTTAACCTTACCTTTTTTATTGCAAGGTATTGTGAAAGCTTCTTTTTTAATGTGGTGCCGAGAGTGTAGGACTTTGGAATAAAAATCCCCAAACTCTGATACAACATCTTCTACTTTCTGTAGCTGCTCATTGATTAAGCCCTAGTGAAGAATGTCCTCTTGAATGCACTTAACCATGCACAAAGATATCCTGGATACATATTTTTTCTGCCATGTTCTCATGATGTTGCCTTGGCCTCATTCCCAGCCCATAAACAAGATAATCTTCATATGATCCTCAGCTGGACTGGTAGTCCTTAGTAATACATTATCCTGCATGAACATTCACGCATAAGATCCTGAACAGAACTGCAAGTAACAATGCTTTGCTCCATCAACAATTGTCTGGACTGCTATCTTTGTGTCTACCTTAAATAGATACACAGCCACACATCTAAACTCTTGCAGAATTCTAGTGTTACTTCGGGATTGGGTTTCTCCAGTGGGGAGAGAAACAGATTTTGAGCTATCAAGGAGGTCATTATGGATTATGGCCTAGAGTGTCCCATAGTTGTCCACAGTGATCAACAGCAACAAAAGAATTTGTGAGACATAAACCATAATTCCAAACCATTCTAAGGTCATATCAGCCAAAGTTCTTACGAGTAACCAATACTTAAAGGCAGCATAATCTTAACCAGGCAGTTTTTTTTTTAAACAAATCATTCTTTTTTCAAGTCTTTTTCATTGATCATATATTTAAAAAATAATGTCCCCTGCTTTGGGCTTTGTTTTTAATGATGAAAATTATTAGTCCAAACTGTTGCTCAGAGAATGAGAAAGATGGCTTTTCCCAATCTGTGGCCAGAAAATAATACAGATTCACCATCCGGCATTAAATCCATTTTTAGAAAAGACCTAACTGCTGTACTGTTCTTTATTTTTAAAGGGCAGCATATAAATTCACAAAGAAATAAATAGCATAATGGAAAGAAACAGCCTCAGCCAGCCTTCAGATATACGTTGAACTATCTTTCCTATCATTCCTGAGCTGCAAGGTCAAAGAGATTTGTAGTTCGATGCAGCTGAAGGTCATGAACATAAATTGCGTTCGGTGGAAAACTAACGAAATAAATTGTATTTGGTTGAAAACTAACTCAGGATCTGTTAAAAGCACAAACAGATGGAGGTCCTTCTGAAGCCCTGGTGGGGTAGCAGCCATGTAGCTGTGGATTTTCTGTTGGGTCTTGATCATTCAGCAAGTCATGCTGAGTTGCCTCTTGGCTTATCTTGGGCAGAGAATGAGTTGAAGGTGAAGTTTACTTCTCTGGCAGCACACCATGCCGGAGAAGTATGGAAGGGGGTGAGAGAGAACATCTCCTCAATCCATTTTCCTAACCACAATTTACTTGCAAAAGTAAAATTTAGAATCCAGACAATTTGAACTGGATGCTCTTTTCAGGGCTCCTCCCCCCAATCAGTAATAGTGATGCCTTTCAGATGATCTTGACTCCCATTTCCATTAGCCCCAGTTGGCATGACAAGAGAGACAGTGGGACTTCGAAAGGTCTTTTGAAGGGAAGAAGATACTGTTATTATTATTGAATACACAGCAATGTGAGATCACAGCTGCCAGGTTTTTAGCTGGTGTTGGCCTTCATTTCCATCGAGTTCTTCGCAAGAACCTAGGATGTCGTAATGTATCGGTGTAGTGTGCGGATCCAAGCCGTGTGGTCTTTTGTAGTTGACAGATGGGAATTTTATCAATGCGCAGATTTTCTAAGTGCCATCCAAGGTTTTTTGGAATGGCACCTAGTGTGCTGATAACCACTGCCACCACTGCTGGTTTATGTCTTAAATTATTATTTTGCTATAAGAATTGAGATTAGAGTCAACATTATGTCCCGTAAGTTTGTTTACAGTATTAATATAGGAAATTTTGAAGGACCTTTTTTAGGGCTAAAGATGGGTGAACATATGTAAAATAGAATGGAGGTACAAATAAGTGAATTCACACCAACGGAAGTAAGACTGACTTAAGGGCCAGTCTGGGTTCTGGCCGTCGCTGTTAGACAATACGGCAGATAGGAATGTGGTCTCCTGCACTCAGGGATTAGAAGTGTGGGTTGGGTCTCAGTGGCCCCTTCTCACTTGGAAGTCTACACTAAGAAGACTTAGATCTTTCCTACATTTGGGTTCCTTGCAGCATGTGCTGCAGTGATACAATCTCCATCCAATGAATCTGGAAGTCAGACATGATGGACAGGGCCTTTTTCACTGCTGGCACCAAGATGACGGAACTGTCCAACGTGGGAGTTTTCCAATTCTTCTTTTAACACAATCATTTCTCCTTGCAATGATCTTTTGAAGTTCGGCCACCTTCCAAACGTTGTTGGAATCCACATGATTTCCGATCATACTAGCTGAAGACTGGCCAGAGCTGGAGTTCAACATTTAGGAGGGTTACTGGTGGCCCACCCATTTTAAAGCAGCCTTGTGGGCACCATCCAGATATGTTGAACGTTCCCATCACTCTTGGCCAAGGTGGGTGGTGATTAAGCTGACTGGGAAGTTATGGTGCTTCCCAAACGGTCTTAGTTGTGGCTGGTAGCTTTTAATTGGATTCACACATCAGCAACCATAGTTTGTTGGACAAACCACCACTGACCGAGTTCACACAACATGCAAAGTTATAAAACACAAAGAACAATTTTAACATTTTAGTCCCCAACAAGCCACCTTATGGCATGTAAACAATAAATTGCTGTATTCCAAAATGCTTTGGGGGCAGAAGATGGGCCCAGCCTGCTTTTGTCATTTTTATTGTATCTGTTCTGTGTATGTTGCCTTGAGTGGTGAAAAGTGAAAGCAGAATAGGAATGTTGCAACGCATAAATAAATGGTCAGATCCTAAACAACACCGTAGTCGTTTGGTCCCGGCTTGGTCCTTTATGAAAACCCAGCCTCTGTCATTTGCCAGCCATGGTTCCTAGTGCCAGGCGTGATGCAAAAGCTACCCAGGGGTGGTTCGTTCAACAAACCGGGATCCAATTGCCCTGACGCCTGCCTGTGAGCGGGATCTGTGCGCACGATTATTTCAGTGCCTCCGTTCCATCGTTCGCCCTCCAATTCGATTTGGACTGAAACGCCTCTTTATTTTATCTTGCTTGGCCAGGCTAACCCACGGTAGAAAAGCAGAGCGGGACCTAGTGGTTCCCGACGGTGCAGCCGCCAGGGAAATTCCCGGCCCCGTAATCCCAACCGGGCGTTGCAGGCCGGCAGGACGTGTGCATGCCTCGACTCCCCCGCCCGCCGCCCCCCCCCCGCTCATCCGCTGAGACCTCCGTGGCGCTTCCTTTGCGCCAGGCGTGATGCCCCCGCGCCCCGACCCGCC